GCAGCCTTCATCCCCGCCCAGAGACTCCACACGATGGCCGTGTAGGACTTGTCTGGCTGGAGTCCCCCAACGGGCATGGAGCTGGGGCAGGGCCTCGGCCAAGTGCCTTGATGACCACCCAGCTCATACTCAAAGCTCTCCTGGTTCCCCGCAGGGCAGGCGAAGGTCAGGATGACCCCATAGCCTGCAGCATCACTAGTGCAGGAGGTGATGGTGACGGGGTCTGGAGCTGAGAGGACCGTCTGTGATGAACTCCTTGCTGGCCCCGAGGTCCAGTTGTCCCCTCCCCCTCCTCCACCCCTTCACCCCCAGGGGCCCTGGCTTCCAGGTCCTCCAGCTTGCTCCCCAGGAGGAGGGGGCAGGTCTGCTGCTGAGCGATCAGTGCCCTGGGCCTCACCTGTGGAGGCGTTGACTGTCCTTTCTGGACTCTGGGCTTCATCCTCTGTCACGGACCTCACCAAGAACTGGTACCAAGTCCCCGGAGTGAGGCCGTCAGCAGTGAAGTTGGTGCCGTTAGTAAAGACCTGCCTCTGGTAGATTTCAGATAAGAACCAGGACACTTGGTAGGTGGGCTCGGTGGGCCCCTCAGGCGCCATCCAACTGAATTCAATTGAGTTGTTGGTCTGTCTCACCACCTGCAGGTTTCGGACCTCATTGGGTTCTGGAAGGCCAGCAAAAGAAGTGTAGACAAGAGCCCGCTTGGGTGAGAGCCACCGCGCTCTGCCCACACGTGCTCAACCACCTCCATCCTCATCATCAGACACTCCGCAGAGTGAGTTAAAGGTCACCGCTTCCGGGCTGTCTTAACCCCAGGACCAAGAACACCATCCATCCAGATACCACCCTCCCAGGCTGGGAGCCTGCCTCACCTGTGAACACCCGCAGCATCTGGGCAGAGCTATTGACTTCGTTGCTCATGCTCCTTATTCTAAATTCATATGGGCTTCCAGGCTCCAGGGCCTCAGCAGTATACTGCTCAGCGCTGGTGTTGTCTGCCCCTCTGGGGACACCCTCTCTGCCCCAGCTGATCCAGTAGGTGTAATCTGCAGGCTGGAGG